TATTATACAATCTAATAATCTTAAAGTTGATGAATCCTCATTAACTGATGAATCAGATTTAATTGAAAAGTATGAATCAACAGATCCATTTATTCTTTCGGGTAAAAAAATTTCTTTGTTTTATTTTTCTTTATTTATAAAAAATAAATAACTATTCATTGTTTTGAACATTTTTTTTTAGGTACACATATTATAGAAGGCAGTGATAAAATGTTAGTTTTAGCTGTTGGTGAACATAGTCAAACAGGAATGATATTGAAGTTACTAAGTACAATCAAAGAACAAAACAATGATTAAAAAAAAACAAAGTATGACATGTAGATTTTATTTTCATTTTTAAATGATTCCTTCACTTGTCTCTGATACATATTCAGATACTACTGCCGATGCAGATGTTAATGAATGTCTATTAAAATCAAAATCGGCTGAAGGTATTCTTCTTTATTTTAATATCGTTAATTCTGTATTAATATTAATATGGTAATTGCTATTAAATCATTCATTGCAAATGCTTCTTACTTATCGTTTTGTTTTTTTGTTGATAATGTTAAAAGAAAAATTCTTTTTTTTGCGTTAGACGCAACTGCATCACAAAATGTTGTACTTGATAATGTCAATCCAACAAGTAACGAGGATGATCTTGATTGTGTTAAAATAGAAAAACGATCAATTTTACACACACAATTAAGAAAATTAGGTATTCAAATTGAATATGCAGGTAAAACTTTTCAAATAGATTTCATATAAATCACTATTTTATTTCTTTCTATAACTATCTTTGAAATTATAAGATTTCTTTCGAGATAATTAATTCTATTTTTGATTTATGTTTAATACAAGAAAAATCTTTTTTTTTCTTTTTCTTCTAGGAATAGCAATTGTTATTTTAACTGTACTTGTTCTATTGGTTTCATTTTCAATTGAACAAGTGATTCAACAGTAAAAGAAAAATTTTTTCTTTTTGTTTTTCATCAATGTACTATTCAAATATTTTCTATAGACATGAATGGGGTTATAAATACTGGACTCGAATTGTACGATATTTAATCACTTGTATAATAGTATTCGTCCTTGCTGTACCTGTAGATTTATCATCAGCTATAACATTATCATTAACATATGTGGCTAAAGTAAGTTAAATAATTTCAAATTTTTATTATTTTTGTTATTTTTTCTTCTATTAGAAAATGTTGAGTGATAATAATTTAGTTCGTCATTTGGATGCATATGAAACAATT